TTATATCAAAAGAATTATGAGATATCATCTCACCCCAATAACAATAGCAAATTCAACAGAGCAGCAAACAACAAATGCTGGCCAGGTTGTGAAGAAATTGGAACCCTTATTCACTGCTGGAAGAAGTGCAAAATGGTACACCACTCTGGACGGCAGCATGGTGCTTTCTCAAAAAGTTGGAAATAGAAATACCATTTGACTCAGCAACTGCATTACTGAGAACATATCCTAAAGAAACCAGAACTGCCACCCAAACAGATATATGCTTACCTATGGTTATTGCTGCATTGTTCACAATAGCAGAGAGATGGAAGCAACTCAAGTGTCCATCAACAAATGAATGTATAGAGAAGCTATGCTATATTCAAACAATGGAACACAGCACTGAAAAACAAGGAACTCATAAAATATTGTACAAAATGGGTGACCCTGGAGGACATTATGCTGAGTATAATATCTCAGTCACAAAAGGACAAATACTGCATAATGTCACTGTTATAAAATAGGACTGACATGCATGTTGGAGGAAAACTAAGAAGGGATAGATAATGAACACTGCAAACAGATGAGGCAAACAACAGTCTAAAAGAAATATATAATTAAGTATTATGTGCATGACAACACTCCAGAATAAGAGGTAAAGAGCAAAGTGGACTGTGGGACAGGTGGAGGGAGGAAACTGAGCAACAATGAAAGAATCATTTTAAAGAAAAAAGCAAACTTGGGATGGAGGGGGGTAGGGAGGAAAATGTGCACAATGAAATAATGGAAATTCAAGTTTCCTGCAAACTTTTGTTAAAACAGCAATAAGAAATAAAATTTAAAAAGAAAAAAGTTTTTGGTGAGCACAGAGATCTAATCTTTAGAAGATCTCATTCATCAATTTTATCTTCTCAAGACTGCATTTCTAGCTGTCTTTGGGAGTCTCTTTGTCCATAGTCTAGGCCTTCTAAGCTTTATCCTAGTTTGCCTCTGATGAACTTTATGGTTTTGGGCTTTACTCCCAGGTGTCTGATCCATCTTGAGTTGACTTTTATGTATGGTGTGAGATAGATATGGATTCTGTTACAGCTTTCTGCAGGTAGCAGTCCAGTTTTGACAGCGTCGCTTGTTGAAAAAGTTGTCATTTCCCCCTTTGGTAGCTTTTACTTCCTTGTCGAATTTCAGTTGATAGATAGATAGACAGATAGATGGGTCCATTTCTGGGTTTTCAATTCTGTTCATTGGTCTATGTGCCTGCCACTGTACTACTATCATGGAGTTTTGGTTATTACTGCTGGTACTACACTGGTACATTTTGAGGTCAGGAGTGCAATGCCTCCCATTTCATTTTTGTTTTTCAGTAGTACTTTGCTTATTCGGGATCTCTTTCCCCTCCAAATAAACTTGAAAATGTCCCTTTGGATCTCATTGAAAAATGAATATGGTATATGTACTGGGATTGCACTGAACATGTAGCTTGCTTTTGGTAGGATTGTATTTTTCACAGCTTGAGTCTCCCTACCCATGAACGGGGAACATTTTTCCATTTACTTAGGTCTTTTATTTTGTCTCACAGAAATGTTTTGTAGTTTTCTTTGTACAGGTCTCTTGTGTCTCTAGTTAGGTTCACTCCCAAGTATCTAAATTTGTGATTGGCCATTGTAAATAGTACTACTCTCTTGGTATCCTTCTCTGAATTCTCTTTCTTACTTTAAAGGAATCCCACTGAGTTTTGGATATTGAGCTTTCCTACTTTAAAGGAATCCTCCTGAGTTTTGGATATTGATCTTTTATCCTGCCACTCTACTAAACTGGTCTACTAACTCTAACAGGTTTTTTGCTGAGTCCTTGGGGTTTTCTGTGTGCACTGTCATATCATCTGCATACAGTGATAGTTTAACCATCTCTCTGATGATCTGGGTGCCTTTTATTTCCTTCTCTTGTTGTATTGCCCTAGCAAGTACAGATATACAAGGACGGTTCAACATAAGAAGAACAGTCAGCATAATTCACCACATTAACAAAGCAGATAACAACCATATGATTTAGCAATTAATGCGGAAAAGGCATTTGACAAAATCCAACATCCTTTTCTGATAAAGGCACTCAGCAAAACTGGAATAGAAAGGAATTTCCACAACATAGTCAAAAGGATACATGCAAAACCAAGAGTCAGTATCATTCTCATTGGCGAAAGACTAAAAGCATTTTCCTTGAGAACAGGGAGCAGACAAGGATGCCACTGTCACCACTTCTATTCAATATTGAATTGGAAGTACTTGCTAAATATTGTGTAAGATCATTATTTTAGAACAAGTATGAGGATCCAAGGTGGGAGAGGGGGGAGCAGAAGGCTGAGGATAGGAAGGGGAGGGCGTGTTAATCATAAGGTTGCAAAAAAAAATCATAAGGTTGATGAGTTGGGGAGATGAAGGAAATGGGAAAGACCCAGTGTGAAAAACAATGTATACGAACTTTGTAGATAAAACAGTATAAAATATTTTAAAAAAAAGTCAGTCACAAAAGGACCACTATTCTAAAAATCTAATGAAAGGGTTACACACAGAAACATTCTTGGATGGTTACCAGAGATGGGAAAAAGGGAGGAGAGAGAAAATGTAATAACCAGATAAATTGGATAGAGGGAAAGGCAATTTTATTTTTTGAGAGTGCAATATATATTTTGATCAGATACTATAATTCGTCACAATCAATTGTAATTAACGTTAAAAAACAAAATGCCTACTAATGGTCAAATGCAATTGTTACACTGCTAGGAAAAGAATGAGTATGAATAATCGAATCAAAAACTAATATGATGTTGTTGCTGTTAAGTGCCATCGAGTCGTAGGCAATCATAGCGACCCTATGAACAAAAGTACTCAACACCTGCGTGACTTTCATCCTTGTTCCAGGATCACAGGGTTTCCAGAGGCAAGCTATTTACGAAAGTGGATGCCATTCCTGCTTCCAAGCTTGTTTTAACGCGCCAACAAACACTGTCCACCATGGGTAACCATTATCGCATTTGACACATTAATGTCACGGTGTTCAACTTCACAGCGACCACAAGTTACCTCTGTACAGCAAGTGGACACACCAGGGCTATACGACTAGAAGAATGTTTCACCAAAAACACTTAAAGACAGGCCTTAGGTTTCAGCCTGATAGGTTGAAGGGAAAAAAAAAAGGACCAAGAAAGACAACAAACAGCATGCCCAAAATTATAATACTATACACACAAAAAGAGAAAGCATGAGGGAGACATCAAATAGGTCATAGAATCTCTATCTAACGCAGGTGGGAATAGAACCTTATGTAACTGCATGGAAAAAATGGAACCACAGCTTAACAACTCCACTCTAATAATACATGCACAAAGTATACCTGTATGTCTACTACAAAAGATATGCATATTCACAGGAGCACTTCCACATAGAAATACTCCATGTAGAGGAGGATGAGTCAACTACTTTATGAACATGTCTCAGCACTCAAATAAAGAAAACATGATGCAAAATACCCCAGAAAAATATTAATAATGTAATTAGAAGTGACAAATTCCTGATTAAATGCTATTCAATTCTTTTTTAAAAGTTATATAATAATAGTATATATAATAATAGACTACATATAGATGAGATAAAACTACACAGAAATAAAACTAAGGGAAAGATGACATCATTTTCAAGAGGGGGTTCTTTCGGATGGAAGGAGACATTAGGATGGGACAAAAAGGGCCACAGAAGTAGACAGAAGATGCTTCTCTTGTTGGTTCAAGTACTAAATTATAAAGAAGATGAATAGCAAGACAGTATGCCAACATGTACAGTTAAATGGGGCAGACAACACAGGGCCAATAATGATTGGGAGAATTTCTCATGAGTGCAAGATCATGACTGATCCAATGGCAGGCAAAAAAAGAAGAAAAAGTAATCTAAGAATTCAGCAAAATAATAAACTATGGATTAAAAATTTTTAAATACACTGAAATACATTTATAAAGTACAGTAGTACTTTAAGAAGAATGCATTCATTTTTAAATCCCTTAAAAATAGTCCATAAAATCAGAAATGTACCTTTCAATCTATATGCAGAACAGATTATCCGGGAGGCTGGGCTCTATGAGGAGAAATGTGGGGTCAAGATTGGTGGACGATTTATCAACAATCTGCGTTATG